GGCAGAAATGACAATGCCAGATGCACTGTCACAGGGAAACCACCACACCTGCTCTGTCCTAAGTGTCAAGCTAAAGACCCCTGGGGAATTCACACTTGGCTCTGACTATCCTGGTTTTAGGTACAGTGATTTTGGAGTGAGCAGACAAAAGGTAATGGCTGATGGACACAAGTTACAGCAAGAGAAAATCTTATTATAAATATATAGTACTCTGCCCATGTCTTGTGGTTGCACCCAGCTCCCCAAAAACACTCTGGGGTTACTAACAGGACTCCTAGCTCTGGCCTGAAATGGGAGAGGACATCTTTCTGTTCCCCAGCATCCTTGTCCAGCACTGCTAGTGCAGTCAGCATTTACTATCCTGGCAGAAATCTGCCACTTTTCCAGAAAAGACATGATCACTGTTTGCTCAGCTTTGCTTTTTTGAACAGTAGTCAAAATAGCTGGCTGGCTGTGCAGCTTTCTAATGATTTACTGCACCCGAAGCCCCTAGAAATCTCTCTCAGCAGTAGCTTCTGCCAAGCTGATGGGGTTCCATAGCCTCTGCTGGGCTTCTTGACCCCTTTCCCAGTGCTCCCAACTGTCAGGGCAGAGATGCAACTGGAGGCATCTGCATCTGGTTTTAGCTTGCAGATATTTCCTGCCACTGCAGGGATCGAAATAGCAGTTCTCAATGCAGAGTCCTCTTACCCTCCCTTGCTCTGGTGCAGAGCCATGTCCTGTCCTGAGCTTTGCTCATCCTCCTGCTGTGCAGTGGCTGTGGATAACATCAGCCAGCATGGAGCACAGGATAAGGTGGGACAGAAGCTTTAAAAATAAACCGGGCCCTGCCATAAATAAGGAAAAAACACCTGTCATGCATCCTGTAAACTACCCGTCCAGACTTTTAGAAGATAATATCGGATGGGAACAAAGCAAACGGGAGCACTGTAGCTGCTGCAGCAGAGGCAGGACCCCGTGGTGGCCCCTGCCTGGGGTCTCTCCTGCCTGGGTGCCCTTCTGCCTGCCCCGGGCATGAGCCTTTCTGCCCTGCTGGGTGCAGCTTCGCCCTCCTCAACATCAGTACTCCCAGGAGAGCTCCTCTCTCCATCCCCCCATCCCCAACTGCAAACCCACCCCAGCACCCCCAGCTCAAGGCCTGTGCTTACCTGGAGCTGGCAGGGACCAGAAGTGTAAAACAAGAACCCCGCAGGTCCTTGGGTGACTGCTTAAGTATCTGCGTGTGTTTGACAGGCGGGGACCTGAAAAACCTGCCGCAAATCACAGGAGCTCCCGGGATCCACAGGCACTCTCTGGGCTGGTAATTCAGGTTTGGCACCCGCTCCCTTGGCAGGGCTCCCTCCGCGCGTGGTCGTGCGCGCCGCGGGCTCTCGGTGGCCCGGCAGCCGCCGGGGCGCGTCCGCCGCGCTCGGGGCGCAGGACGCGGTCCCGGCCGGGGCTGCTTCCTGCAGGGGTACAGGAAAGGTGCAGGCGGGGTGCGGCGGAAACTGCGCTTCGTGCAGCGGAGCTGCAGCCCAGCCCGTCCCTCCCGGCCGGGATGCATCCCGCTGCGCCGCTGTAAGGAGCCCCGCTCCCGCCTTGGCCGATGGAGCCCGGCAGCGCTCGCCGCTGCGCGCGGCTGGATTCTCACCTCGCTTTAGTGTCTTGCAAATGATGTGTGCGGGTTTAACATTCCTGAGTCTGCTGCCACTTTAGTCAGCCCTGTGATCCCGCCAGGCTGGGTGTAAGGGCAGGACGGGGTCTGGCTCTGTCCTGCTGCTGCAGGCCTCGGAACGCAGCCTGGCTGGGGATGGGGAGGAGAGCAGGGCGTCCTCCTCTGCCGAAGCCGTCTCCTCGATTGAAGTGCCAAGGAGCCTGCAGTCTTCAGTGTGGTGGTCTGGAAGCATTAGACAGCAGCTTAAAAAGAGGCATCTTGTGAGGTGGAGTGCAGTGGGGAGGGGCTGATTTATCTCTCAGTTTATAGACAGCTGGAAGGGGATGCTGGAAAATCAGAGAGGCTGAAGAAAGGGCTTATGAAAAATTGAGTATGGCTTGCAGTGGCTGAGATTATCTGCCAAATCAAAACTCAAATTGGCACAGAATGCAAAAGCTGTGGAGCTGGCTGGAACCAGAGGCAGGGAGCCCTGACACTGAGGAAAAGTGGCTGGACAAACCCAGGCAAGAAACCTGCCATATGTTCAGCAGTGAGCCAAGACTGTCCTGAAGAGGTTTTATAATGTTGGTGGAAACACGGGCCAGGGCAAGGGGATTGCAAAGGAATTTGGGCCAAAGGACAGGCAGACCCGTGCCAGTTTTCCTAGCAGGATGGCATTGATCAAGCAAGATCAGGGGATAGGTTCAATGCCTGATAAACCAAATGGTGCTGTTCAGTGGCTGCCAGAGAGGTTTTTGGGGGAAGACTTGATCCTGCATGCCTTGGGCAGGCACCTGGCCAAAGGAATATGTCCTGTTTATCACTGGTGCTAAGCAACAGGAGCACGGCTAGCAATGGGTGCACACAAGCAGATTGGACGTGTCTGGGGGATGTCTCCAGGAGCCATGGCTGGGGGCACCTGGGTGCATTCAAGGAGGCTGGGGCAGACCCCTGCAACAGGACTCAGCCTCGGATTTCAACCCCAGTGTGGGAAAGTCCAGGCAGAGGTCCCAAACTGCATACTGACATGTCCTTAGGGCAGCTCTCAGGGGTATTGCTACTTATCTGCCCCATGTCTGTGCACTGCTCTGGCATCTGCTCTTGGCCAGCTTCAGTGACGGGATAGATGGGAAAATACTCTGGTCCAGAAAGATTTTCCTATGTTTGTATGCTGTAGTTTTTTTTTTACTTCCATGCATATGCCCTGAGCATTGCAAAATGTGAGTAACGTGGCCTGCAGGAACAGGATAGGCTCCTCTCTTTCCTTGTTTATTACTGTCAACGGAGAGAAAGCCTTTCATGTGGAAAAACCCTTTTCTCTTAGCCTGAACCCAGCCCAGGCTTGCACTGGGAGCACTGGCAGTGACGTGTTTCAGGCTGTGATACCCCGTTGAAATGGTTTCAGAGGTGCTCGGAGTCCTGCAGTGACAGTGTGAAAGTCATGTCACAAATCTCTTTGCATCTGGCTGGCACAGGTTAATGCTTCTCTGACCTTTTCTATAATCTTTAACACTCCATTTCCCCTCCTGGGAGAGGGTCAAAGTACTGCTGGAATTTATGGCTCACCTGATATGAAGAGATCCTGTTCCCATACGATGTCCTTTGTCAGCAGAATTAGAGTAAATTGAAACAAAATGAAGGGTGCATCCAGGCCCATAGCAGAGACTTTCTTCCTGTTGAGAAGAAGTACAGCTGTTGTGATGTGCATTTGACAATTTTGCATAATACTGTGGCATTGCAGGGAGGGGTTGGCAGCTGCAGCCTGCATTCAGCCCCCCACTGCTCTGGACCACTCTTGCAGAGGCTTGAATATCATCAATATTGCTCCACGGCAAGATGTTGGCTGAACTCACTTTTGAGGGGGTAGGTGGGGTGGACATTCAACACACAGCTCATGCCCATGCTGGCCCAGTTGTTGTTCCTTTAACACTGCACGGAGACAGAATGGAAAAAAACATGGAAAGGAGAGGGGCAAAGCAACTTGTCAAGCCATCAGGATAGAATGGGCTATAACATAGCTTTTCTGACTTGTTCCTCCTTTTCATGTATGTGTCTCACTTGAATCTTGCCATGTTTTCTTTCCTGAAAATGAGGCTTAGCACCAGCACCCCTTGCTGGGGATTAAGCAGAGATTTTTTTTCCTTTTTCTGAATATGTGAATTAAAAAATATGTGCTTCCCAGACTCCACCCCAATCCACGTGCCAGAGAGAGCACAAAAGCTTCCTTTCTCCCTCTGAACACCCCAATGCAAAGGAAAACCTCAAAAGCCATCTTCTGTTTTGTTTACCAGTGTTTTTTTTTCCTGATGCGCTGGGGGTCTCTGGCCACGAATTAAAAAAAAAAAAAAAAAAGGTTGGAAACAAGGCTTTCCAGAATATTTTGGCTTCCATTCAGTTAGAGAAGAGTTTTCTAACTAGTCAGTACTGACTCACAGGACAACTCTTGCAGCTAAGCAGATGAGACTTCTACCTCCATAACCCAATTACCCCATAACAGGACAAGAGATCGGTTGTTCTTCAGGGTGCAGCTGGCAATTGCCTTTGTTGGACGTCCCAACACACAAGAACTCGACTGAGTCATTGTTCTTTTGATCATTTTCCCCCTAGGAGAGCAGCAACACTGGTTGCATCCCAAGAGCCAGCAGCACACCGTGCTTACCCAGCCCATGCCCTGGGCAGGGGGAAGAGGAGGAGGGCACAAGTGGCTCCTGCTGCTGGAGCAGGGCTGCTGGCCTGGCCTCAGCAATTGCCTCTTTGCTCTCTCCTTCATGCATTTTCCTTTGGTTTTAGTGGGCAGGGTTCAGCCTGTCTCTCCTCAGCAGTAGAAGGGATCCAGGCCAGACAGATACTAATCAGATGTGACTTCCAATAAGATTCCTGCCTTTACTTTATCCGTGGGATACATTTGTGTGGATGGAAATGGCAGTGTTTTATTATTCCTCCCGTTGTTCCTGCACTTCTCAGAGAACAGTGTCATCTCATTGGTATTTCCATGTGCAATCTCTGCCTGGGGTACAGTCTTCCTCCCTGCTCTCTTACTAACCAGATTGTTTTGAAGTGACTAAACCGGGAGTTGATACGTGCAGTTCCTTGCCGGGAGGATTTTCAGCAGCGCTGCCATAGCTTGTAGGCAGAGCGTGCTGCAGCACGCAGAGGCAGCCAGCAGGGCATCGTCACACGTGGGAGCTGCTGCCGTGCCCAGCCCAGGAAAACACGGCCCGGCACTGGTGAGAGGCAGGGAGGGAGGACAGAGTGGAGCTGCAGATCCACTCTCTACCCTGGGA